GACCCGACCCGGGCGCCCTGGGACGGCGCCGCAGCCGGCGCGGGCGGCTTCGTGCCGACGTTCTCTGTCCGCTGCCTCAAAGTTGCCTCTTCCGGCCCATCAGTTGGCCAAGTCGGGGGCTCCCTCCCGGCGCCTTCCCCGCCGGCCGCCTCCGCGGGGCTGGGGACGTGGGTCCGTGCGCCCGGAGTGCACGGCCTCTGCCATAAAGGCGCCTCGATCGCGGGCAGCACTGACGAGTCTTGGGTCATTTCAGGAAAAGTAAACAGCATCCTAGAGGCTTTCGGCATCTTAGGAGTCTTGGAGTTAGATGCCCCCGCCTGTAGGAGAAACGGGGCTTTTTTTTTTTTTTAGAGGGTCAGGGGGAAGGGATAAAAGCATATGCTATTAATTTTGGGCAGAGGAGTAGAGTTTAAAGTTAGAAAAAATTATGAAAGAGGTCTGCCTCCCCACTCCCACCCCAAGGGAAAATGAAAGTCTGACTTTTGGTTTCCTTCTGAATTTAGACAGCAGAGCAGACCACCCGCAAAAATCTTACGTTAGAAAAATCGTTTTGCGAGACCTGGAATGTTTGTTAATGGGAATTGGGTTACTTTGCAAAGCCAGTACATAAGACGAAAGGAAACAAAGACTTGACTGACACTGAGTATATTAAGTCCCTGCTTAGCCGCCTTTTAGCCCATAGTGGTATGCTGGTTGCATTGTAGGCTGCAAAGAAATAGATAAACCCTTAGTTCTGTTATTAAGAAGCAGGTACTCCTAAAGATAATGCTTTCCATCTTTGCTTTTAAACAAACCAATATTACCGTTTTCCTCCAGGAAACAAAAAACATCTACTTGAACTACCAAACCATAGCATAAATATGAAAATACTCAGAGTTGGGGTGTCTAGGAAGCAAATGTAAACATTTGCATGAGCTTGGGAAGATAGAACTGAAGAAAAAATATAATTTAGATGCAGCCCTTACAATATTGCTCTGTATTTAGTAAAAAACGTGTTTCTCCCAACCCACGAA